ATGGACGAAGTTAGCTCGATTCCTTTTCAATCACCAGGTGGTGGTATGTATTGGAAACCTCGGGTTGAAGCTGAATTTAAACCTTATCTAAACCAAAGCTTCCGATCACTAGAGGATGGTATAGAGTTTTACCGAGAGTATGGACGTAAAAGTGGGTTTGAGATCAGACGGCATACAGAGAAGAAACATGAGGACGGTACAGTTCTTCTTAAACACATTGTTTGTAGTAGAGCTGGCAGCAATGAATCAAAGATGGATGTTGATTTTGAGGATTTTAGTAGCATTTCGAAAAAGAGAAGGAGAACTGTATCTAGTAGATGTGGTTGCAAAGCTAAAGTCGTTTTTAAGTTCGATGGTTTGAAAGGATATAATGTTCTCTCATTCGCTGAAGAGCATTCTCAGTTTTTGGTGTCCGGGAGTGGGAAACAATTTTTGAAGTCAAATAGAGTTCTCGGTCTCGCACATAAGAAACTTGTATTTGATGGTGCAAAAGCCAACATGGGGCCTAACAAAACATATAACTTTGCTAAGGAGTTGTGTGGAAGTTATTCTAATGTTGGTGCTACGTGTACCGAGTTTAAAAATTGGAGTAGGGATGTGAAGCTTTATATTGGTGATCGAGATGCTCAAATGATCATCGAGAAGTTCACGGATAAGAAGGAGATGTGTGATGGATTTTTCTATGATTATGCAGTCGATGAAGGGGGTCGATTAACTCGCATTTTTTGGGCAGATGTTATTGGTCGAAGAAATTACGATGTATTTGGAGATGTGATATCATTTGACTCTACATATTCCACAAACAAGTAAGATTTTATAGTTAATCTCTTACGATTTTCAATATTGTAATTATATATCATAGTGAATCTTATATTTTTTGTATGTGATACAATAGGTACAACATGAAGTTTGTTCCATTTACTGGTCTCGACAATTATAAGAAGTGTGTTGTATTTGCTGCAGGATTGATAGCTAAAGAGGACATTGATAACTATGTTTGGATTTTTGAGGTATTCATGAAATGCATGATTCGCGAGCCAAAGTGTATTGTTACAGATCAGTGCCTTGCCATGAAGCAAGCTATACCAACCGTCTTTAGAGAAGCACGTCACCGTTTGTGCATGTGGCACATCATGAAGAAATTTAACCAAAAGGTAATGAATCCCACATATAAATATCATGAATCCTCATTAGATAAATACTGAATTTTTCGTTATATATTTATATTGTAGTTGACAAAATGCATTTCGAAGATGGATGATTTCAAGAGGAAGATCAATGCACTGATTTGGAGTATAGATATAGATCCAGCAACATTTGAAGTAGGTTGGAAAGATGTTATGAAAGAATTTAAGCTTGAAAGTAATGAATGGTTGTGTGAACTGTATAACATTCGGGAGTCATGGATTCCAGCCTATTATGCTGATGATCCAATGGCTGGTTTATTACGTATTACATCAATATCAGAGTGAGAACAATTTCTTTGACAAATTCAACCGTAGATATGACACATTGACAGAATTTTATCTCCGATACGAGAGTGCTATGGATAAGCAAAGACATACAAATGCAAGATTAAACTATGAAGGAACAAAGTCGATGCCAAGAATGGACACGCCATTGTTATTGGAGAGGGATGCAGCAGAGTTGTACACTCGAACAATGTTTTATGAGGTACAGAAAGAGATAATGTCATCCTGTTATGATATGGGTATCAACAGTATATCAGAAGAAGATGGTGTGAAGATTTTTTCCATAAAGGACAAAAAGAGACATGGAAAAATATTTGAGGTAAAACTTAATAATGGAGATTGAAACAATAAAAATTGAATCCAGATTCAATACAGTGAATCACGATTCAATGAAGTGAATCTCGATTCACACCACTGAATCGAGATTCAGTGACCATTTCATGCGCTTGTCATTTTCTTTTTTTATTCGGTGCTAATATACATTATTTTTTGAATTTTAGGTGAAACACGCTTATTTGAACAATGACGTGCAATGTACGTGTAGGCTGTTTGAGAAAATGGGTATAGTATGTAGACATGATTTTTTTGCACTGAACCAAGCTGATGTAACAAAAATACCAAGACATCTTGTTGTGAACCGATGGACAAAAGGTGCTGAGATGAGGCATTCATTGCAGTTCAAGGAAATATCAGAACAGTGCAATGCAATTAAAGTTACAAATCGCAAGTTGAATGACATATGGTATGATTTCCAATCCTGTGTGAGTTTGGCAGGTTTAGATGGTAAGAGACTTGACTACTTGGAAGGGAAGTTGAAGGAGTTGAAGCACAGTTTGCGTGAATATAGTTGGAAATCTGACACACAGAACAAAAATGATGTAATGGAGTTTTTTGTTGGCTCAAAAATACCACCTGAAGTGATTGTTAAACCTCCCATTGAAGGTAGAAACAAGGGGTGTGGACGGAGAATTGTTGGTGATTATCAGAAATCAATTAGTCAACGAAAGAAGAAGGTGCCAAGGCTGTGTAATATGTGCAAAAAAATCGATTTCCATGACGCACGGACATGCCCATTAAAGAAAACATTACAGCAGAGTGATGTTTAATTTAGTTGTCATATTTTGTTTCAAAATCATGTTTAGTAATACATTTCTTATTAAAATTGCTGAATTGTGTAATTCTTAACTACATATATTTACTAGATTATTAATTACATGGTTACGTTGTGTCATGTTAGTATATTGAATAGAGATCTACTCATATAGCATGTGAATTTCATCACTATAGTTGTATTATTTCAAAAGGAATGATGAAGTAGTTGTATGCAGTCATCAGATTAAAATTGATTCGCTTTAAGTTATTCTGGACTAAATATATTGAATCTAGATTCATTGTAGTGAATCTAGATTCACTGTAGTGAATCTAGATTCACTGTTATTGAATCTCGATTCACTTAATTGAATCTAGATTCTGGACTAACTATAGTGAATATAGATTCATTGTAGTGAATCTGGATTCACTGAACTGAATATGGATTCACTATAGTGAATCTAGATTCAATCAAATAAATTACTAAAAACTTAAGATAATATTAAAGCAGTGAATCCAGATTAAATACATTCAATCCACAATAATTATGATTAACTTACTGAATCTTTCACTGTAGTGAATCTGGATTCACTGCGTTGAATCTAGATTCACTATAGTGAATCTAGATTCAATCAAATAAATTAGTAATAACTTAAGATAATATTAAACCAGTGATTCCAGATTAAATACATACAATCCACAATAAGTATGATTAATTTATTGAATCTTACACAAAACCTTGAATTATAACTCACATTCTCTGCTTAAATCGAAATTCTTCCAATTGCATTCTCTACCTTCATAGTATTTTCATATATCCAAACTATTCACTAGTCTAGGAATAAAATTATGACAAAGCTATTCTTATAAAGTATATTTACATAGAAAAGCAGTTCAAAACAAACTGGAGTATTCTATAACATTAAGTGACAATGTACTCAATAACTGTAAACTTCAACATTGAAAATTATGCTGATCACAGAATATCATTTTCTCTGAGATCTTGTGGTCTTCCTCGTCTCTTTTTTGACATTGGCAGTTTCAGCATGGTGCTGTTAGGCTTTCCTGATAACTTCTTTGGCCAATTCATTTGTTGGATCAGTAAGAATTTGGCAACAGTATATAGACCTCAGTCTATGTAGCTGATTTTTTAATCGCTCCTGTCGATATGAACAAAAGTTCAGTTCAAGATTCAGTAGCTATATTCTAAATTTTATTAATTCATAAAGACTAACTGTAAATTATCAATACATTATTAGTTTAAACACTTACACCCTCTCTATGAAAACCAGAGTTCCAATTTGCTGTACCACCGCCCATGTAGGTCTCCATATGTCTCATGACAAAAATACCACAATCAAATTCGTTTTTGGCCGTTCTCCACTCCATCTCAAGTCTGTCAGGCGTTAATGTATTTATTTCACTCGACTTGTGATGTTTTTTGTGTGCCAAATATCTTACAAAATTCTTGTGCTGTTTAATCAAAAGTAATCAATGTCACATAACAAATCCAAATTATTATACAGTAATGCCTAATGTAATATACAAATTGTTTTGGTTGTTTATATGGAAACAATATTCATGACAGTGAATCATGATTCATTGGATCTAGTTCGCCAGGATTTAATAGAGTTAGTTCAACTAGACTCACTCTAATGAATCTGGATTCACACTAGTGAATCTGGATTCACTAGAATTAGCTATAGCTAGTAAATCGTGATTCCCTAGTGTGAACACAGATTCACTAGCTCTAGTGAATCGAGATTCACAGTAAGATGTGAATCCAGATTCACTAACTCTAGTGATCGATATTCACTAGAGTTAGCGAATCTGGAATTCTCTTACTCTAGTGAATCCAGATTCACTATAATGAATCCAGATTCACTATAGTGAATCCAGATTCACCTATATATATTCTGCCAGTAAATGCTTAAAGCACATACGTAAGGTGGAAAAACATACCAAACCCTCAGGACGACCTTGGTATTTTTCTTATAGTCTGGGCAGTTTTTGCTATTGTCAATCAGCTCCATACTTGGATTCTTTAGCCCATAGCACACAATGTAGAAATGCTCAAACGCATTTATGGGAAAGAAGACCTAATGGTTGTGAAATTTAATCAGAGATTTTACAGATATAGTTAAAATTGGGTTAAAGAACAAAAACATTGTCTTCGAATCTGTACAATATCAATCTCGTTAAACTTCATATGTGGATACAGAGCAAGTTGCTCATCCATCCGGGAAGCAAACCTACTGTATCTCAATTCATCATTGGACTCATCTGTGTGATGAATGTTGCAAAACTGTACAACATAAAACTGGTTAAATAAAATGTAACTCGAGTGTTATTTTAAATTAAATAAAGGAAGATACGTACGGTTGTCTCAACATTGCAGAAGAATCTAAGTGGAGAATTTTCAGACTTCATTTTTTCTCTGCTGTTCAAAATATAGGACCAAATGCTGATTAAATTTACCTCAATGTCCTCAGAAGAAAGGAAAGTCTTGAAAGCAGGTAAGAAACATTCAATTTGTCTCCACTTAAAAACCATTTCACTAAAAAAACAGTAACAATATTCAACTTAATAAAGGGACAAAATACTAAAAAAAGTGAGACTCACACCTAAAAATAAAACATTAAATAAGATTTAAGAACTCACAAATTCTCTTCTTCAGCAGAATCATCACCTGAATGCCTTGCTTCTTCTCTATGCACCCAATTCCATATGATGCTTTCCAGCTGACTTTGCCTAGCAGTAATCTGAGATACCCTCTGTACCCATGGTGACCGAAGAGACGTTGCAGGCTTCACCGTACTCTTTTCTTTCCCCCTTCCCGCATGTTCCTTATTTTCGGTCACATTAACTTTCTTACCTTTTTTTTCATCTACTGCAGCAGCATCTTCAGATTGTTTATCAGTTCTTCGTACAGAGTCATCAATGATTTTAGATTCACAAGCTTTAGCAATCTGAACAACATCAATCATTTCCACTGTCTCAGTCTGAGTATCCTGTGTCAGCCCAAGAGAAAAACTAGGTTCTTCAGTCTCTGGGGTACCAGATTCGCCGAGCTTGCGCCTCACTTGTCTGTCAACCTTACCCATGCTAACAGACTCTATAATCTTATCAACCTCTTGAATAAACTTTGGAGAGACTTGTGTTTGTGGTAACTCAGCTGATATTGGATCAACAGCAGGGGAACCATGCATATCTCTACTCACCTTTGTGTTCACATTAGGGGTATCATCAACAATGTTTCCCACAGCTGTTTCATTGTCACAGGTACTTCCACGATGTCCACACCCCTGCACAAGAACATTTGAAACTCTCTGTTGAATTTGAAAGAGCTCGTTGTCATTGGGGAACAGCTTTCTCATTGTCTCACACTCAGCATCATATCTATCTTTTACAGATTCCAACTCTGCAGCTCTCCGTTGCACCCTCTCAATACAATCCTACAGTTTGAATATCACAGACATTGGTCACCATAAATTATTAACATGGCGAGAGACAAGATTCGATAGATTGAGATTACATTCAATGTATTTGAATCGAGATTCAAATGACTGAATCCAGAGTCGACTAAAGTAAATCCAGTATCACTTTAGTGAATCGAGATTCAGTAGTAGTGAATCCAGATTCACTTCAGTAAATAGATATTGAGTATCATATTAATAACCACTGATTTACTTGTTGATAACCACTGATATTGAGTAAATTGATATTGAGTATCATATTGATAACCACTGTTTCACTTGTTGATAACCACTTCAGTAAATCGATATTGAGTATCATATTGATAACCACTGATTCAGTGAATCCATATTCACTTAAGTGAATCCAGATTCACTTAAGTGAATCCAGATTCACTTAAGTGAATCGGAATTCAGTTTAACTTAATCGATAACCACTGATCTGAAACGAGATTCAGTATTAGTAAAACGATTCATTGAACTTAATCGACATTCAGTTTAAGTGAATCTCGATTCACTCCTACTGAATCAAGATTAAATTGAGTAAACAAAGTCTTGCAACTTAATTTGCTAACCTTTCAAATTGTCTCAACACTTTTAGGCGAGTTTCAAGTACCACTCTGCATTCAAGATGAAGGTGCAAGTTCAACCCTCTCTGTAAATGCACCTTTGCCAAATGAATTTGTACTTATTTCCTCTGACTGTCTTTCCTTCAAGGCCAAGTCAGTCCAGCCTAAAAATGTAGGGGTTGTTCTCTCAACCAACCTCCTCCCTTTGAACAGAACCCGATTGGCATAGAACAGCTAGAAAGACGGAGATAAGAAATAAAGCACACCAATTATTCATCATCAAGTAAAACTACTTTAACTACAGTAATGTAAAAATAAATCAATATTATACAAGTGACTTACAATCAAAAATGCAAGAGGACCCGTGTAGAATTATTTTGTCGGGTCTACCTTCCACTTGTGTTGGCTTTCTATCATTGAGTCAAGCAAGAAAGAACACCAATTGTATTCAGAGCACTAATCAACATTTTCACCAAGAACTAGAATCCGTTGGTTAACATACGGATTGCTAAGCGATTGGATTATGCTATTGTGGAAGAGAACCAAGAAATTCAGTTTAAAAAGCAGGTTAACATCAGAACTCTGCTTCAGTTTCTCAGACACAGCCCCTGGAGTAATTTTCCAACCAACACTGTCTGTGAATTGAGCCCTCCATTCATCCACCAATGCTGACTTCCCAACACTGAAGGCTGGTATACGCTTCCTGCCCAGAGGTAATCCCATCACTTAATGTACATCTTCCTCTGTGATACTGATTGATCCTCTGGGAAGATTGAGCGCAACAACCTCACTGTTAAAGGACTGCAGAATCTGGTACCCCAACATATGTGGCAGTTCCTTTAATCCAAATTATAAAAGGCCTCCAAGTCCAGCTAGTCTCACCCATTCTTTTTGGGACTCAGAGAGTGACAAGACCATATCAGAGAATATCTTAGGAGAGACCCGTATCCTAGTCAACTCCTTAGGTTCAGACTT